GACGAGCACCGAGGGGGCCCACAGCCCTCCTGCCTCGAGGGGCTGGTGGCGGCGCCCGCGCACGCGCGCCCCCCCACCCACCCACACCCCTCGGGGGGCGCCCGCCCGCGATGCCCCCGAAGGGGAAGGCGGCCGCGAAGGCGAAGGCGAAGGGCTCCAAGGTCGGGGGCAACGTCAGGGGGAAAATAGCTGAAGAAGGAAAAACGGCATGCAGGTAAACTTCTGAGCTCCGCGCGGGTTTCTTGGATCTGCTCTGGACCCCCTTGGCGGCGCCTCCAGCGCCGCTCCTGACGCGCTCCGCGCGCCCGGGAGTGGGTTCCAGCGCGGATCCGGGAAATCCGCGCGGACCTCCGAAAGTTTATGTTTATGCCGTTTCTTCCTCGGGATAGGCTCAGAGGGGACGCATTGACCCCCAGTCGCCCATTAACGCCCGATTGCCCACCCCGCCGAGGCACGTGCGATTGTCGCTATCGGGGACCCCTCGTCGATCTATCTGCGATGCATCGCCGAGTACAGGTCGATGCCCCCCCCTGAGCCGGTCACCCCCTGACGTTGCCTCTCACAAGGGGGCGGCCGACAAGGGCGGGAAGGACGGCGAGGAACGACGGCAGCGGGGATCGAAGCTCGAGGTTCGAGGAGACGTTGCGACGTCGCGCCGCTTTCGGCTCCTGGGGGCCCGTGTCGAGCCCCAGGGCCGTCGGGGATCGGGCTGGGGCAAGGAGCAGGCCCGGGTGGAGCCTGGGAGTGCTCCATGGTGGTGACCGACAAGACGGCGAGGAACGCCCGAGGAGGAAGGCACCCAGATAACCAGCGATAGTGTCCCACCAGCGCTTTCACTGAAGGGTCCTCGAAGACACTCCCCAAGCAGTGCTTGCGCTGAAGAGTCCTCAGCCGATATTGAAGGAATAGGCGAAAGTACTGGGCTGATTTCGGTGGGCGGCCAGGTTCCCGGGCTCCCGGCTTTGGGTTCTGGATTCTGGTGCATGGGCGGCCGGGTTCAGGTTACGGGGTTCTTGGTTCCGGGATTCCCAGCACCAGAACAAAATTTACACATCAGCGAGTAGAGAGCAGAGTTGAGCAGAGAGAAACGGTCGGGAATTTTGGATTAGCGCGTCGCTCTGCCGGTTCTGGCCCACCGCGCTTCGGCACGACACGTTATCCACGGCGTGGTCCCCGATCGTCAACGTCCTTCCTCGCAGAGCGGAGCGACACGCTATCCAGTTTCATAGCATCGTGTGTCGCTGTGGCCGCCGCCGAGACACGCTAAGCAAAGTGCTTGATCGTCGAGAGTAGTGATGGATAGCAGAGCGAATTGAGAGGAGACATACAGTAAGCAGAGTAGTAACCGAGAGAGAGAGAGAGAGACGAAGTAGATAGAGAGAGAGAGAGCGAAAGCAAGAGAGTCCTTGAGACCACGGTCAGAGCCAGTGAGCATATACCAGGGAGTAGAGAATACATTTCAGAAAATGTAGAGCATATTTGAGGAGAGACAGAGAGAGAGAGAGAGACAGAAAGAGAGAGAGAGAGAGAGAAAACAAAGAAATATATATATATATATATACAAACATGTATGGAGCAAAGACTACGTAGAGGGTAGGAGAGAAGAGACCTTGCACAGGAGCAGTGGAGCAGTGGAGCAGTTTTGGCAACTTTCTTGGCGGACAGGCGCGGAGCACCTACAATCAAAAAAAAAGAGATCCATTGGTTTGGTCTTCTCTTTCAGCGACACTCATGAGGTTGTCGTTCGCAATCTTGAGGTTGTGGTTCCTACTGGCCCTGTGCTGTGCCCTACTGCGTATTGGATGCGCATCTTGCTGCGGGCTCTGAGTTTGACTGTTTGCTCACATCGACCCCCTTTCTCCACATCATCACGTCATTCCTGCTCCTGCTGATTACCGCTCCTCCCTCCTTCATCTCCCTCCTCCTCCTCTTCCCCCTCAAGGCAGGGGAAGTGAGGAGGGGATTCGAAAATGAAAGGGCATGGAATGGGGGGGGGGGGGGGAAAAGGAGCGGGGCGGCAAGGGGAATAGAGTGAGAGGCGGGAGAGAGGGAGGGAGAGCGGCAGGAGGCACCGGGGAGGTTGCCTGTCCGACCGCCCGCGCGCTTGCCTGCCCGTCGTTGTTCGCGTCGTCGCCGTTGTCGCCGCCGTCCTCGTCGATCGAACGTCGACTTTATCAGCACTCGTGGGCGAGTTTGGCCCGTTCTGGGCCTTTGGAGGCGGCCACCGGGAGCGACCTCCGGAGGCCTTTGGAAGAGGGTCGAGGCTCGAGGACCGAAGTTTCGGGGCACTGTGGGGTCCGTTCTGGGCCTCGGCGGGGGCACCCGCGGCTAGATTCGTCCCGAGATTCTGGCCAAGGCGCGCCCCACGACGTTGTCCAGGGGCCGCCCTCGCCGTCGCCAGCGTCGTTCGTTTGCGTCATCCGACGTCCGTCGTCGTCGTCGTCGTCGTCGTCGTCGTCGTCGTCGTCGTCGTCGTCGTCGTCGTCGTCGTCGTCGTCGTCCGTCGTCGTCCGTCGTCGTCATCCTCGTCGTCGTCGTCGTCGTCGTCGTCTGTCTGTGTCGTCCGTCGTCCGTCGTCGTCGTCCACCGTGTCGAAACCGACCCCTGTCGCTTCAAACGGGCTGGGCTTCAGCATCCCATTTTTTCGAGGGGGCGAGAGTCCCACCTTCGAAGTTCCGAAGATTTCGCGACCGACTTCAACGTCGCCAGTCTATACGATTGAAGCGTTTGGCACAAGTTCCCCGCCGAGTTCGGTTGGCGGCGGCTGGATTCTCGGGCTCCTGGCTCTGGCGGTAAATTTCAATGGGCGGCCCAGTTCCTGGGTTCTCGAGTTCGGGGTCTTTGCGTCCACGTGCAGCATGAGACAGTATATGGTAGAGAGTATAGAGACCATATCAGATTTGGTAGAGAGCAGAGTGAGTTGAGAGAGCTACAATGGAGTAAACAGGCCGGTCGCATAGATAGAGAGACGGATTGAAGAGAGAGAGAGAGAGAGAGAGAGTCAAGAGAGAGAGAGAGAGTGTGTGTGTGTGCGTGTGCAGTTGCGAGGCGACCCTCGCAATTGCACACGAGGTGAGCGGACGTGAGCGGAGAGAGAGAGAGAGAGAGGGTGAGATAGAGAGAGAGAGAGAAAAAAAAAAAAAGAGAGAGAGAGAGAGGGAAAAAGAGAGAGAGTATAGACAAGCTAGGTGCGGTCGCGCCATATCTGACGTCCTACCTATCCCACTCATCCCTTCCAGTTGCGCCGATGTCTTCTCTATCTGCCGACGCGTGTCATAGCGGCCCCAGAAGTCCCAAAAGATCCCATCGTGCCACGCGCAGTCGGACAAGGGGAGCTGCGTACATTGGTGGAGGGGTAGGGAGCATAGAGTAGAGGACAGATCATATAGAGTGCAAAGCGAGCTGCGAGGGTGGACGAAGTCAACGGAACAGAGAGAGAGAGAGAGGCAAAAAATGGAATCGAGAGAGAGGGCCGGCGTGGAGCACCTGCAGCAAGAGCCATCGGACAACAGCAACTTGGGGGCTCCACCGATGTCACGCGTTTTTTCCTGTCCTGGCCCGCCTCCCGGACCTGGGCCTCCGGGGCCCGCCATCGGGCCCAGTGGCCGCACTTTCTATATCCAGGGCGTAAAACTGGCCCCGGGAGAGGGCTCGGGGCTTGTGGGGCCGCGCGTGGAACAGAGAGAAAAGAATCGTCTGATGTTTGGGCACACCGATACCGAGTGCCTTTCCAAGGCCTTCGCCTTTTTGGGTCCTCGCTGCCACTGCTGGGTTCGCCGCCTCGGAGGAGACGGCGGCCGCTAAATCCAAGCCGAAGGGCTGCAAGGGGGCGACCGACAAAGGCGGGAAGGACGGCGAGGAACGACGACGGCGGGGCTCGATGTTCAAGATTCCGAGGGGATGTTGCACCATTTTCGGCCTCTGGAGGCCAACTTCGAGCCTTGGGGCCGTCTGGGATCGGTCAGGGGACCCTGGCAGGCTCACGGGGACACATTGGTGAACCTCGGAGGTCGAGGCAGAAGAAAGGCAGAATCAGAGTGAGGGGGCCGAACGGTCTCACACGGTCCCTGGGTGCGTGGTTGAAGTGGGATTCCGTGGCCCGGATTGTGTTTGTTGTTGTCGTCGTCCCCCCCACGACCCACACGCGACCCACCAGCGACCCATCCGAGACCCGCCCCGCGACCCACCCGCGACCCACCAGCGGCTCACCCCGCGCCCGCCCCCATCACCATCATCCGCAGATGCGGGGTGCCACGTGTTCCGCGATGGCCCTTCGCTCGCTTTCTGCTCTTGTGGGGCCACTGCGGGGTGCCCCTCTGCCCCCTGCTGGCCCCGCCTCGGGAGTCCCCGGCCAGATCAACCTCGCGGCAAACGCCCAGCGACAGGCCGAGGCGGAGGTTTGTTGCCATATTTTCGGCCTCCGGGGCCCCTCGCCTGGCCCCAGGACTGTCGCAAAACGGCTCGTGATGAGAAGCCCGCCCCGGAGGTCCAGGCCTCCTGGGGTCCACGGCTCCGGGGAACGTTCCAGGCCGCTCTCAGAGCACTCCCGAGCCCGCTGAAGCGGCCGTGGCGCCCATGAGAAAAGCATGTCATCGAGGGTCTGGGCACGAGACCCCCGACGTCGCATTTTCTCATGACGCGGACCCCCAGAAATCTGGACCCACTTTTGGCGGTCCTGGGTCCCGACAGCGGGCCCCAGAGGCCGACATCCAGGAAAACAGTGAAATTATCACAATCACATCGTCGGAGATCTGGGCACATCTCTGTTGTTTGCCCCCGGCTCCGAGGAAGGAGCGGCGATACCACCACCACCACCGCCACCACCAGGGGGGCCACTTCCAGCGAGGGGGTCCACGATGCTTCGCCGAGCAGGGAATAGAGGATGCCTCGAGCGAGAGGGGGGGACCACACCACCAGGAGGGCCCTCCCTGGCGCCTCGCGCTGTTGGAGATGTTGTCGCCTTTTCCCAGACCCCCGACGTTGTTTTTGTTTGTCATGGC